CCGACTGAATCCAAAGTAAAGTTGCGATATTCAGCTGCCTGTAAACCTCGATCATGCCTGCTTTGGTGTGTCTCTATGAATTTGAGAATACAATATTTATTTATTTATTTATTTATAACCCTGACGTACGATGACATAGTCGGGCAGGCGCGCGTGACCACCTCGTGGGTTGGTCCAAGCGGCTATACCAGTCGCACTCAGTGCAAACTGAGTGTTCGTGATCGTCAGCCGTGAGTAGCACACAGTGGGCGCAGCCGGGCACCGTTCGCATTGGCTGAACCAGCGCCTTGTGGACCGATAACCTCTGTCCACACCGATGCATCACGCCCAACGCGCGCGTTACAATTACCCAGAAGTAATAGTCGGTCCTTCTTTGACACAGAACATATCAAGGAGGATGAGGGTAGTAAGGATTACGCGTCTCATCATGATAACGCACTCTTAGGCAGTATGTGCGTATAAAAGTGGAAAACTTGCTTTTTCCGAGTCGCAGGCGAGCGATTGTAAGTCTCGCGCTGGTGCCAGTTGGTGTACCCAGCAGCTGGCCATGTAGTCGATCGGATATTGCAAAGCTGACCCGATGAAACGTTGTGCTGAAGTGGCGTTGTGCACACAGGAGAACGTCTAGCCAGCGGATACCTCATGAATCTTACTTTGCTTCCCCAGCAGAGTCTAAATGAACGCCGCAATATCGTTGTTGGAGCGCGCCAGTTTTATTCTGACCAGTGCAGTGCGTCGGTCGAGGCTCTGTCTCAAATCCAGGTTCAGTAGGGTGCGCACGTATCAGCACCCGATGTTGTGTACTTTGCGTGCAGGCATGCGATTATATTGGTGGCAAATCGCACTCAAGGTGGCGGTTGTGATTCGGAGGTTTGCTTGAGGGACACCGTCCGGAGGTTTAGCCTCAATAGCCTGACCAACCAGGCAGTGGATGCTTTGGAGGTTTGCTTGAGGGACTCCTTCCGGAGCATTTGGCTCAATGGCCCGACGCATAAGACAGTGGGGTGCAGTTCCAGCTCTGAAATGTGGTTGTGGAGACAGATCGGAGTCTCTTTCAGGCCCCTCAAACTTAGCATTTGGAGAACTGGAACTATTCATATATATTTTGTTGCAGCAGTAGGATACGCACTTGCGATGACGGACAGGCCCATGTGGATTTTGACTGGTTCGCACTAATTTGACCAGCACCTGCCTCGATTGCGGCGGGCGGCAGCAACCATTTAAGCACCCGGAAGTGCCCTTGCACCATCAGAGAAAATGCGTGGTGCTCGTGCTCCACACTAATCGAGCTGTGAGCTTATAACCCGGAGACCGGTAGTCTTCCATGGTTGGTTTTACGGGAAGTGGGCCATCGACTAGCCTCTAAACTTCGAAGAGGATGGACATGGATACAAATGGATCTTGTACACCTGACGGGAAAATGGCTTGGGTCCTCAGCCAGAGACTCCAATAAATATACGCCCGGAAGGTAGCGGGACCGTCAGATGGTCAGGAAAGAGTAGACCGCGGATGGGTGTTCTAAAACTTAGCCGAAAGAACGGCGTACTTAAACCCTACACAGCGGACGCCAGGTGGAGGTGTCCAGGACAAGAACGCGCAGTACAACAGTAGCAGCAGCGGGTAGACCACTTGCAAAGCCTTTCAACCACCAGCTATAGCGCCCCAAACGCCCTTCCGCCAAACAAGCCAACACGGTGGGCGGCACCCGGTTTCGGATTTGCCTGTCACTGTGGTCAGCCACGGGGCGCCTGCGCCTACGGAGACCCATTTGTTGCTTGCGGCGCACCACCCACAGCTTCATCCAAACACCGCATGTCCAGTGTAAACCCGAAGGAATAGGACCGAGAGGCATGTGGATGGGAGCCACGTTTCCTCAATGGAACCGGCCTACATTCCTTCATATGCAAACACAAGCACGCTGTATATTAGAATCAAGCGCATACAAGGCGGTGTCTGGACCGTACTCCGCTCCACATTGAGGGCATGAAACCACACTTTGATCCTAACACTGCCACAAAGACCGTGCACCCGTTCCCCTTCAGCCACGACCCACTGTCTCCCAAAGGCAGTAAGGACAACGAAGTGGGCAATAGACAGGTAGGTACCTTGTCAACATGCACATCAAACGCAGCCACGCGGGGGATATCAAGCAACAGCCAATCACTTAAGCGAAAGATAACAAAGAAAATAAATCGAGTAATGCATAAGGAAACGGTGAAATGGATCTTAAATTATTGAGCATATGAAATAAGTTGTTTACAAACGAATTCGAGATAAGCTCACAAGGTCGAAAAGTATATTTTACTGAAGTGCCGCAAACACGAAAACGTTATCGAAATTAACTACAATTTGCTTAAGCGACGTGCGCAAGTTTATAGAAGCGAGTGCAGGTAGACATTTATACGCTAAAGAAAAGAATTACTCCAAAATTGCAAACCCACCCCCTGAAATAAATAGACTTAGCATGCAGGCACGTGGTTAGTAAATCGAATACAGCGTACTTACAATCGCTGCGCTGGTTCTGCCTACGTTTTCTGCTGGATCCTGCGTCGGTTCAGTAGTTGTCCCGAGTGGCCTCGTCCTTGGCTCACCAGGCCGGCCTGACTCAGGCGCTCGCGAGCGCGTGTGCTACAGCACCATGCGCTTGAAGTCGATGGAGTACAACCCATGGGTGCTTGCTGCTTCCGCATTTGCCGCTTCTTCTTCACATGCATTAGGTCTTTCTCCCGCACCTCGGCAACTGCCTTCGTGATCAGCTCGCGCCATGCACGCCGATTGAACGCCTTCGATTCCCGTGATCTGTAATGAAGGACGGAACGTGAGATGCTCACTTTGCTCACGTCCTGGTAACGTAACTTTGGTTTTCCCATATACATAGTAGGAAACAGACAAAATTCTACAAAGTATCGGCGCATTGTCTAACACCTGGTGTCTGCAGGTACTTAGAGCAAATTCGCAAACGAGCTCCGAGTTTGCTTTTTCAGAACCGCTAGGTCATTTCAGCTGTGCAACTTTCGTTCCGTCATTCGCTTTCACGTGTCACCAAAATTCTAATAGCTCGAGAAAGGGTGCTAAGTCCATAATGCCGATAAGCGCTGGATGCCGTATTTGTGGATTACAATAAACCTTTTGAAAAGATTCTAAATGCAATTTTGTTTAACGAACTGCGCAGTACAGATGTTTCAGGGAAATCCTCTCGTGGAGCACAGATTTTCTGCATGGTAGAGCTTTCTGTTTGGAAATAAGTGAATCTCGTTCCATCTCTGTAAATAGGGCCAACAGTTTTCTGCAAGACCTTACGCCTGGCCGTGAAATTTTTAGTCTTTATTATTGACCTGGCGTCTGTACTACTGGCAAGTTGTTGGATTTACGCTGATGATTTGAAGCTAATGAGGAAAATCTTCTGTGTAGATGAAGCTGATGGACTACGGACATTGCTCGTTTCTCTGCCTGATTGTTCGATAAGGTGCCAAGTACCCATAAATCACGATAAATGCTCCCTTCTTTTCATGGTGCCTCCTGACCATATGGAATTTAGCATATCGGTGGGCTTTTGCTACCAAACTATCTTGGTGAGAGGGTGCTTGACGTCTTTGTGACCATAGACATAAATCAACTGAAGATACCTTGAGGAACGTCGCTTCTGCCAACAGAAGATTTCTGGCCATACGACGCTCCTTCTCCCGCTCGAACCTGGAAATGTTCAGGCTTGTGTTAACTGCACAGGTATGTCCGATACTTGAGTATAGACTGCCTTTCATGTACCAGATTTTATTTTAAACTGCAGGAAAAAGTTCGTTGGAGTGGATCAAAATCCATTCTGGGGTTGCGAAGCCTGCCTTACTCACTTCGTTTTTGGCACCTGAAGTTGTTCACCTTAGCTTAACGTCGAAATCGCGCAGCTTTGATTTTCTCACAAGGTATCGTTAGCTATGAACTTGGAGTCGAAATGCTAGCTTTCTTTCCTATCCAATTCCTTCATTTCGACTAGGGGTCAATACTTGAAATTGCTTACACAAAGGAGACTTTGGATGCGCTATGGCCACAGTCTACCATCGTAGTAAGCGAGTTGAACAGTTAAATTGTGTATGTCGTTGATGCGCAGTCGGAGAATGTTTCAAACCTCATTTCGACTCTTACCCGCTCAGTAAACTTGTATCATGTTGCTTCCTGTGTCCTTGTAGCGTTTCCATTGTTATTGACTTTCAACCTCCAAAATGAACCCTGTGACAAACAAGAGGTGATAGAGATACAAGTTTTGCTTCCGCATTCTACATTGTAATGGTCAAATGATCCTTAGGATATCCCTAACTATAAAGTAAACGGTGGCTCCATAGTCATCTTCATTTTCATAAAACACAGGATTTATAATTCTGAATAAGCCTAAAAAGCGTATAACCTTAATCCATCCGCTAAATTCACCCACATTTCCTCCGCATCCATATTCCTGATTTTCAAAACCCGCGAATCTGACGCACCCAGTTTATCCTTCCGCTCCGTCAAGTTCGCGGGTGGCGGGAACTTTAAATTTTGGGTCATGTTCAATTCTACCGGTGAAAGCAACCCATATTTGTCATAGTTGATATCACTTTGGTATACCAAGACGCAGTGCGATGTTTTAGACCGGTTTATAGTTAATCTACTATCGGCAAAATATTCTTTAGTTTGCTGGCATATGTCCTTGCACGGATGAGGAACTAATCGTCGTAATACCTTAGTTTAACCACAACCCTAGCCATAACTTTGGATACATGAGCATAATTTTTTCACAAGTTACCTTGGATTATGGGCTTTTAACTGAGGACAAACCGAATCTAATTTCAATAACAGCAACAGGTCTGAGTCACCATACAACCGCGCCCGTGTTCCTAGCACGTTGTCCCTTTTAGCGGGCACGGTAACTCGTTAACTGGTAAGAGGTTGTTCGGTTTCATTTCCTTTTATCCTTACCTTCCTATTCCACACCGGCAATTTATCTTCCCTCTTCGGTGCTTCCTTAGGTGCCACCTTGACATCGGCCTCTTACTAGACTGCTCGAGCGTACAGCCGTCTGCGAGGTATTTATTTTGCATTGCAATTTGTCGCACTACTTGGACACGGAAGTGCTTGGAACGCCGGATCGAAGGAATATTACGCCATTACATCTGCACACTTGACGGAGCCTATGCTTTCTGGCGGGGCCCCTACGCATACTTGTAGTAGTGGTGTTGCAGCCAATGACGACGGGTCGTTCTCTGCTGCTCTAGTGGCTGTTTTGCACCCTTACGAACCTACTCACTCAGATGAAATTCGTCTGCGCCCGGGAGACAAAATACAGGTCAGTTCCATACACTGCATTCAGGCAACTGACTTGTGTTTCGAATTCGAAGATCTTCAAGTGCTTTTGCAGTTCTGCCACTTTTGCAGTGTGAGCTGACAGATTACATTTGCTGTCATTCTTTTTAAAGCCCTTTCTGTGTCCACCGTTTAGATGGCACTGAAGGCTTCAGGCGTATGACCGAACGCCAGAGTTAGCAGTGGTATGCTGATCGCCCAAGGAGCAGGCATTTTCTCAATAGAACGGCACAAGTTGGAAAGGGATCTAGCAGAAACGTATAGGGTTAATAAAAGCATCAGTGATGTCAAAGATGCGGACCACGTACGTCGTACAATCTGCTATAACATCAACTTGAGCAGTCAACAGTGTTTCAGGCTAGTTCAAGTTCAGGTGTGACTGGAACGATAGGAGAACCCCTTGAGTGTTCCTTCTTAATCAGGTTGTTTATCCAGGGGTTGATAGCGGGTGCTCTGACTCCTTGATGCATCTATGGTGACTAAAATATTTTAAAAGTATAGCTTTCCTACGTATTATGGAATTAAGCGTTTTGCTTGTCGGAATTTTGTCCCGTTTGTTTTAACCACACGATATCCGCTTTTGAAGTGCGCGAATCTCTCTACATTGGTGCCCTATTTTTAGCATTAGCTAGCTCTTCTCCCGTCCAATAAACGTTTTCCATAGCTTACATTTTGTGTTCTACCGAGTTCCTTTGGTTTGCCGTCTAGCATCGTTCCAGATATATAGCGCACGATCGATGCGCCATACATCTAACACAACACCCGAATCACACTGGTTTACCAATTAATGCCCACGTTCACGGCATTAGCATTCCCTGCTATGCCAGTCATGCGAAGTAAGCAAAAGGAAGAGAAATCGAAGATAAAGAGCAAGGAAAATCATTTGAACAAAAAGGACGGTACCGATGGTGTGGGAAAGTACAAAAAATAGAACCGAAGTAAGAAGATGTTAGTCATAACAAAGGTTTCGTGTTGACAATTAAAAGCATCTGTTTGACGCTCAAACCCCTTAACCGTTGGTTCCTTGACATTTTCTGCAAGCGAGTTCCTTCGCTCGATAACTGAGTCTCCGCTCTAATTCGATCGAACCGCTATTTGTCCAGCTTTCTGCAATGCCCGCAGAGACCAGATCTAGCAGGTCTAAATAGCCATGACATATCCAGGTCAACCATTTCAGTTAAAATAAGGTAGGTTAGAATTACATCCCCCCTAATCCTTCCATAGTGCATAGAATGCATCCCCAAACTAAATACGCGTTCTGGGCACGTTTGTCCTCATAACCCCTCGACCAATCTACTACAAACGCAACAGCTTTTCTAGTACCAATTTGTCCCGGACAAGGGCTGTTGGACAGGTTTAGGCGCACGAAACTTGAGAAAACCTTCACAAACATATCAGCTGTTACGATCCCGAAACAACGACGGTCACAACATCCGGAACCCTATACTAACCGCCTTCAGTTTGCTCCAGAGTGTAGATTATAACAGTGTACAACACTTAAATTAACCTGATGAGTCACATTAGGGAGTTCACCACCATCGATCACGCAACTTGTGGAGAATCAAGCGCTCCGATACGCAGCACTGCCCGGTTTGGAGCATCAACCTCAAGACGTACAATTCCCAGAGTCTATCCAGAGCCCGTTGATGAGCTGCACGACTTTCGAAGGCATCAACTATTCCAGAGCTTTAGGTCATCATCAACAGCAGTACATCAGTCATTTGAACTGGTGCTTCGCTGCCATACAACCATGAGGACCTATGAAATAAAGAAGAAGAGAGAAGTGGGACTTACCTGAAAACCTTAATGCCCCAAGCAAACATTCAGGGTCAAGGCTCCTACACCTTGTGTAGACAACATACCGTCACAAACAGCTGGCTATCGTGCAAAGATAAGGCGGCATCGGCGAGACAGTTTTCACTGCCCCGCGTCATAATCAGCCATTACCCCGCAGATAACTCAACAGCAAGCACACTTTAAACAGGCAATCCGATTAGGAGACGGCAGCAGACGCGCCACTGGTCGGTTGCGAGCCATGTCCTGTAAAGTCTCGAGCCAAGCACAAGGCGAGTCACGTGGACTCCAGACTGGAAGGCCAGACGGACCAACGGTACCCAGTTTGGTCGTCAGTGTCTTCATTTCCCGCTGCCAAGTCAACTTCTGTCCACCTCGAGCCTTGCGCCATCCGACACCTGGCAGACTGAACAAGGCCCTCCTAGGTAAGCGGTGACCAGGCATACATAGCACGTGCCCGAGCCAACGCAACTTATTCAGGGCTATCTGTTGTTCTAGGGAGCTAGCATAATTATCATTACCTAGTACTCGTCTACGCACATCATCGTTGCGCACACGCTGGTGCCATCCGACACAAGCAATGCTTCGCAAACAACGATGATCAAAGACTTGAAGGCGCCTCAGATCTTCAGACCGAAGGGGCCAAGTCTCATTACCATACAGCAGAACGGCCCTCCTTGTGGCCTTGTATACACGGGATTTCAGATGGAGGGAAACTCCCTTCTGTCGCCAAAGATGCCGCAGGTTCAAGAAGGTAGCTCTGACTTTTGCATTGCGTGAGCTGACGTCAGTTCCTATGCGCCCATCATTGCTGATGCAGCTGCCAAGATAAGTGAAATGATCAACCACCTCGAGTTCCTCGTTAGCAAGCGTCAAGGGGTCATCAAGTGGCTGGTGGTCCTGCAGCAACACTTTGCACTTTGAAGGTGCGAAATGCATACCAAATAATGGGACCACTCTGGACAGGCTATTCAGGGTTGATTGTGCCGCCTCAACATCGTCGAAAAGCAAGACGATATCGTCCTCATAATTTAGATCACCTAACCTTTCACCAGGCAGCACCTCAACGTCTACATCTTGAGATTCTGCAGGGGAACACTCCATGATAGAATATACGACGAAATTGAACAAAAACGGGGAAATCGGACAATCCTGACGAACGCCACTTGTGGTCGGAAAGCTATCCGATAGGACACCGTAGACCCTGACGCGGCCTGTAGTGTTCGAGTATAGAGCACGAAGGATGTTCACATATTTAATAGGAACACCTTTTCGCGCAACTATTTCGAACAGAATCGGTAAAAAAAGCGATGACTCCTCAAGCTCCCCAGGCAGGTCGTTTACGTAGATTGCGAACATCAGAAGACCCAAGACAGAGCCTAGCGGAACGTTACTAAGGACAGCTTGTCGAAATTATGAACTTCCACACGTATACACTGTTCCGGTCCATCCAGAAAATCTGGAAAGCGCGACCCGATATACCATACGACCTCAGCTTTACTAAGAGTCGCGAAGAGGGTTAGTGTCAAAGGCCTTGGAGAAATCAATGAACAGCATGTCCACTGCATGTCCACTCTTTACGGCTTCAGCCCAGCTCTCACGAGCTGCTAGTAAGTTCGTTTGGCACGAAAATCCTTTGCGAAAACCATGTTGCGCGACGCTTTGCAGTTTAAATTTATTCATGTGGTTATTCACCGAATCACTTGTTAGTTTTTTCGAGTAATTTAACCACCACTCTAGTCAAGATGACTTCCTGTAAGTAGCCGGTACGCCTTTGTCACCGCACTTAAAAATCGGGCAGACAACAGCCTTCTTCCATTCGGGACGCAAGACAGCTGTTAAGTGACTTCTGAAACACACGTAAGGGGTCCACTGAGTTCCGCTGCTAACTAGTGTAGCAATTTTGGATGAACATAATCTGGCCAGGGAGCCTTGATTGTGTTCACCTTTCTCAGCAACCGGAGAGCTTGACTCGGTTACACTAATTTCATCCAGACAAGCGTCCTCAGAGACTTTTGAAGCTAGTTCTCTGCATGGTGTGCTTGTTTCATGGACAAAGACGCTTAAGTACTGCGCTCATCACGTACGCATTCCTTGTCATAGTAGCTACAAATATGGATCCCATCCTCGAAGCAGCGCTGGAATGGATGAGTTTTGCACCACATCATCTTTTAACTTAGGCAAATACAACCTTGGGATTTGTCGAGGCAGTCCGTCACGAAACTGGACCTTGACTTGGGGTGACAGTTTGAGTACCTCGTCGACCCATTGAGATATACTGCGTAAGTCTCTTGTGCCTCTTAAGGGCTACTCCTACCATATTGGTCAATATTTAGAGGTCTGACGAACTCAGTCTCCTGGTCCTCCAGATTGGGGGTTTGAAATGAGATGACGCCCGTTTCCGTAAAACGGAATCATTGCCATATCCGCTGCCTTCTGGACAGGCTTTTGAGCTAAAGGTTTTGTTTGGAGACCCCAATCGTTCTCCTGTTTAGGTCTGGTCGCCCTGTCAGTGTCAGCCCACATACAACCATGGCTTCTTCAAACTTCATTCATATCCTGTATCGGCCGTCGCGCAGATTATCATGGGTCGCCTTATCTACTGCATACAGAAGAGCGGATAGCGACAACATGCTACTGCTGGCGCTTCCCTTCTTTCTTTTCCACCTGGCTTGCCGAACAACCTCCTTGTGGTGTCAGCTGGGTGGTTCGGGATTATCCCGTTCCAGCGAATTGTTTCGGCGGCAGTGTTCCAGGACGTGGTGGGTTTTTGTCTGGCAAGCGTTCTCCCTAAAAAAAGCCACTTGTCGGTTTTACAACACTGTGACGGGGCGGATGTGACTCGCCACTTAATAAAGTCACTGCCCCTTGCCTCTCTGAGTGGTATTCTAATTCAAGGGTGTGTTGGGCCCCTGGTCCTGTGGTCCTAAAGGCGTATGAACCACTTACTTGGTCACCGGCGCCCAACGGGCTGCGATACCCTCATATCGCCCTGCTGCCTTGTAGGTTAGATCCTGGATCAAAGGCTCGGGATGAGGCCCCCTATGACAACCCACTACTTCGGCCTTGGCAACCGGGTGGTATCTCGCCCACAGACGAACCATGGATGGATCATTCCCTACTCTCCCCCCAAGTAAAAACTCAAACTGCGACAAGAAAAATGGACAAAAAATTGTTTTCTTCATTTGA